TATCAAACCTGCACATCGAAACAATCCCAACCCTCTGAAACCGTGTGAAGTTCCCAACCCGCGTTGAGCCAGCGTGGCGAACTATGATCTAAAACCCTCAACTGCGAGGAGAGCCAGAGACCCAGTGGGACGTACAAATGGGTTGATGGTGATGATGATGATTATATTACAAGGCACAAGTATATTTTTTTAGTTTAGGCACAAAGTTATTTGCGTAATTGATGAAAAGATAATGAATTCGAGCCACTAACAAAATTTGGAATAACTGGATTGGAAAATTGAATTGAACAAAGATTAGCCGTAAGTAAAGAAAACTCTTTGCAAAATAGGTCATAAATACCGCCGAGTAAGCAATAACATCCTACTACGTTATGAATGGATACTATAGTATTTCTCTGCATTTACACTCATAAAACATCTTACACGCCAGCACATAAGTCTCGCAGGATTTCACGATAAAAACGACGTTACACGATAAACGGATTTTCTTTTGCGAACACAGATAGACCCTTTTTAGCTCCGAAAAAGAATTTTCTTTGACATTTCATTAATGGTCTATTTAAAAGCCACTTTAGCTATTTCGTCATACACTGGACGTTACAAAAGCTACCCATAATACCTTCCAATAAAAATATTTCGACATTACGTACAAATCTGTCGTCGTTGCGACACATAATGGACTAATTTTTTTATTAATAATACTATATCTGTGTAAAGATATTCAGTGCGGCCTTTACATTTTTTTATCTTAAACACAGCAAGATAAAGATTAAACATTTAACAATGTCTTATTTATAAATAGTATTTCTAACAAAAGGAATAAAGAAAAAATTCAGTGACAGCGTCAACAACAAAGGCAATAAATAAATATGTAAATGAAACAGTTGTTAGACATTACAATACCGATAATATATAATCATATATTTATTTACATAGGAGCATTGACTTACAAATAAATGGACGACGGGTCTAATACAAAAACCACGAAAAAAATGTCCCAAGTCAACCTATTCGAAATTTAAATTGTTATGTCATCGCAGTATCGCGCTGTCCGTAGAACAAATGAAGACTAAAGCGGAGTGTCGCGCTCTGTATACGATTTTAGCGCCTTACAAGTGCGGACACTTTTTAGCGCGGACCCGACGTCCATATAATTGTAAGTCAATGCATAGGAGATAAATTCCGAGGAGTGAATATGAAATCATTATAGGGCAGAACTGTTTTCATTACAAAAATCTACATGTACCAAGGTAGTAGACAGTACAATAAGGCTACTAAATTATGCAATATTTATCACACAACAAGATGGTAATGCAAAAGGATTGATTCTGGATGGCTTCAAACACTCAACTACGTTGGGACTGTGGACCTTCTAATGTCGCCTACTGTTTGATTTTACACACACACACACACACACACACACAGACACACAGACATGAACACATACACGTGCAAACACACAGATACACACGCGAACACACACGCGCGCTCACACACGTATACACACACACACACACACACACACACACACACACACACACACACACA